CCCAGTTGGTGGAATGAACTCCCTAACTGCATCAGAACAGCAGAGTCACTCGCTATTTTCAAGAAACGACTAAAAACTCAACTATTTAGTCTCCACTTCACTTCCTAATCTGCAATTGCCTATTTGAATATCACACTAACTGTACAAAAAAAAAAAAAAAAAAAAAAAAAAAAAAAAAAAAAAAAAAAAAAAAAAAAAAAAAAAAAAAAAAAAAATTACTAACACTTCCCTTCTTAGACTTTACAGACCTGAAACTTGCCTTTAGTACTTATTCATTGTTGCTCTTAGTGGTGTAAATTGCTTCCTTGTCCTCATTTGTAAGTCGCTTTGGATAAAAGCGTCTGCTAAATGACTAAATGTAAATGTAAATATATATATATATATATATATATATATATATATGTTCGAGTCCTGATTGTGAGGTAACATCCGATTCTAATAGAGTCTAAAACCCCTTAATCGACCCCGATTTCTGATTATGTGAATGGATCTGGACAATCCCTAGAATGTATTATGACATAAATGCATGCCTAGGGGTCATAATATACTTTAAAAAATCTAACTTGACCATAACCCAACTCAAACCAAACAACCATACATTTTTTGGGACATAAACGTGACTAAAGTTCAAGGAAATCCTATGTATTACTGCCCATGATTGTGTTAGTCCTTCCTGTGTAAATAAAAGGATGTCACTTGTTAGTGTGTCCCGACCTCTAAAGCTATACTTCTATGTCTGTTTCACAGGACTATGTGCAGGCTCTGACCGGACTGTGTTATGATGGAGTCGAGGGTCTCATTTATCTGGTCCTGTTCTCATTCGTCACCGCGCTAATGTTTAGCTCCATCGTCTGCAGTGTGCCACACACCTGGCAGAGCAAGAGGTGAGAGGGAAGATGTGCCAAAAATGACATTAGGGGTGGCCGGAGAAGGGAAAAACAGCTTTAAACAGGTCAACTTGATGGACAGAGAATTGTCCGCCAGTCATGTGTGTGTTTAATGCTTTTATTTTCACATCTGCTCCTTCTGTTTTCACATATTAATCATCTTTCTCATGACTGCGTGTAGCTTCTGTTGTCTTGTCATCCATCCCTTTTCGTGTCATAGATTTGGAAAACCCACTGCCCTGTAGTACCGTATGTGTGAGAGACACACTCGCTGTGAAGCGCTTAATGGGTAACCTAAATATTGCTTGCTTATGGGAGGAAAAACTGCAGTACATTTGGAAAAAGGAGTATGATGGAGGTTTGTTATTTGACTCGTGGTATAGCACTAGTGCATGTGTTTCTATGCAAAAGGAAAGAACAAAGAGTCCCCTTTCTAAATTCGGTGCAAAGGCAGACTGCTGTATTTTGCTGGAAGACGCTGCCTCCCTATGGACTCTTTTGAAACTGCAAGCAGGGCTGATGTGCTGTTTGTTGAAGAGTATCATCATCATTGAAACATGCTGGTGATGTGGTTGATGAGTGGTTTGGATAAAGAGTTACACATCGAAAAAAGGGTATTTTGAGCATAAGTGGCATCCAAATCTACACCTTCACAGATCCACTTTTTATTTTTTATTTTTTTATTTATACCCCTTCTTTATGTTTCAAATCTGATTCATGGTGGTTGTTTCTTGATTTAATGCATGACTACAGACGTTCAATGGTTACTGAGGACAATCCATTGGACATGGAGTTGGACATCAATAGTAGTTTTATTTAAATTTATTTAAGTTCTGTTGAATTGCATTATTTTGGCTGTATTCCTTTATAGCTATAATATTATTTAGAGTTATCTCTTTATATATTTGTGGCCCTGGACCACAAAACCAGTGTTGAGTTGCACAGATATTTTTGTAGGAATATCTCAAATTAAAAATGTATGCTAAAATATTTGGTAAAGATCATGCTTCATGAAGGTATTTTGTAAATTTCCTACCATAAATATATCATAATTGAATTTTTGAGTAGTAATATATGCATTGCTAAGAATTTTGAAGGTGATTTAAATGAGATTTCCTCAATAATTAGATATTTTTATAGTGGTGTCTCAGGCTATTCATCAATTCAATCATTGATAATCAGATAATATATGAATCACAATTTTAAAAAAGATTTACCCTCATGACTGGAGTTTTGTGGTCCTGGGTAACATGTATTGATGTATTTTTTAATGTTTTATCTAATAAACAAATTGATTCAATATATTGAATAAGCATTTAAAATAATTTATATTGAAAGTGGCTTTATAATCAAGAGATTTAAGTTTATTTTAATATGAATATAATATAAACATATCATAATGCACACTACTTATCAAAGTTTTGGGGGCAAGATTTGTAAAAAAATTATATAAAAAAAAATATATATATAAATAAATATATATATATATATATATATATATATATATATATATATATATATATATATATATATAATAAAAAAAATATATATATATTAAAATATATTTAAATCTTTATTCTTTATCAAGGTTGCATTCTTTTCTCTTTTTTTAAAAGGAAACCGTAATTCTGTGAAAAACGATTTAAAAGATGTTTCTCAGATGAATATTTTGAAATTGTGAAATATTTTTAATAAAGTATGTATTTATTGATCACCATCATTGACAATTATCATGCAGTATGTTTTCAAAAATATACTTGATTGGCTAAAAGGATTTGATTTGTTCTATTCAGTGTAAGAATGGAGATGATTTGATCTGAATGCATGCAGTTGCAGGTCAGGGGTTTTCATTCTTCTAAATTCAGTATTTCATAAATTTCAGAAAAATGATCATCATATATGGGACTCCATTCTAGAATATGTAGTTTCTTGTATGATTTACATTATTTAGGAAAATTTTAGTTCAATTATTTTCTTCTCATTATAGTATCGTATTTATTTACTTATTTAATTTATTCTAATTTGTATTTATTATTTGTTTTAATCAGATTTTTTAAATCAAAACTTTTACATTTCCATTACTTATTGCATTTACATTAACTATATTTTTGCTTCAATAGCTATTAGATTGTTTACATAAAAAGTTATTTATTTCTTTTTTAAAATATAAATATAAATAAAATACTTAAAAATATTTTTATATTAATAAGTCATTCATTCATTAGTATTTTTGTTTTATTTATTTGTTTATTTATTTGTTTTAATTCTTTTTTTCTTCCCAAATATTTCCATTGACCCCCACAGCACTCTCTTGTATCCCAATACCCCTGTATGAAAACCCTTGCTCAGGATTGAGTAAGATATACAACCCAAAATCAGAAAAAGTTGGGACAGTATGAAAAATGCAAATAAAAAAAGAAAGTAGTGATTTACAAATTTAATTTTACTTGTATTTCATTGTTGACAATATGAACACAAAATATTTAATGTTTTGTCTGGTCAACTTCATTTCATTTGTAAATAAGCATCCTTTCCTGTCATTCAAAAAAAAGTCGGGTAAATAGGTTAAATAAGGATGTCATTTGAAACAGGTGATGTCAACAGGTGATTGTAATTATGATTCAATACAAAAGCAGTATCCAAGAAAAGCCCTTTAGGGGCAAAGATGGGCAGACGATCGCCAGTTTGCCAAAAAATATGTGAGAAAATTATTGAAATATTTAAAAACAATGTTTCTCAAAGAAAGATGGGAAGACATTTGGATATTTCACCTTCAACAGTGCATAGCATAATTAAAAGAGTCAAGGAATCTGGAGGAATTTCAGTGCATAAAATACAAGGGTGCAAGCCTGAGCTGTGATCTCCGATCCCTCAGGCGGCACTGCATCAAGAATCATCTGCAAGTGATATCATCACATGGACTCAGGACTACTTTAGCAAACCTTTGTCAAGTACCACAATACTTAGTTGCATCCACAAATGCCAGTTAAAAATGTACTGTGCCAAAAGGAAGCCCTATGTTAACAATGTACAGAAGCGTCGTCGACTTCTCTGGGCTCGGGGGCATCTGAGATGAACTATCATACAGTGGAAATGTGTACTGTGGTCAGATTAATCAGTATTTCAGGTATTTTTTTGGGGAGAAATGAACACTGTGTGCTCCAGACCAAAGAAGAAAAGGATCATCAAGACTGTTACCAGCAAGTTTAAAAGACAGGATCTGTAATGGTATGCGGTTGTGTCTGTGCCCTTGGCAAAGGTAACATTGCGCTTCTGTGACGGCACCATTAGTTCTGAAAAGTACATTGAGATTTTGGAGCACAATATGCTGCCTTATTTTCCAGGGATGCCCATGCATATTGCAACAAGACCAAGCAAAACCACATTTAGCTCACATTACAAAGTCCTGGCTGCAAAGCAGAGGATACAGGTACCAGGTGTTTGACTGGCCTGTCTGCAGTCCTGACCTGTCTCCAATAGAGAATGTGTGGCACATTTTGAAGCACAAAATGGGACCGCGTACTGTTGCCCACCTTAAGACATTTACAGGGAGAATGAGACAAAATTACACCAGAAACACTTCATAACGTGGTGTCTTCAGTCCCTAAACGTTTTTAAGTGTTGTGAAAAGGAATGGCAACATTACGAAGTGGTAAATGCTTTACTTTTTCAACTTTTTTTTTAATCTGTTGCAAGAACTAAAATTGGTATACATGTTTATTTTGAAAAAAAAAAACAAAACAATAATAGTCATGAGGAACACTTTAAACAGTGTTTGCTGTATTGTCTGCAATGAAATACAAGTCAAAGTACATTTAAAAATCAATACTTTTTTTTATTTGCCTTTTCCATACGGTCCCCACTTTTTCTGATTTTGGGTTGTGGTTTTACTACTAAATTGGAAATATATTTACCTGACAGATCTGAAAAAATCACTCTTGAATGAACTTGCCCCTTTGCCATGTAAATGGAAAATAGAGAAAACAAATGCATGGATCATTTAATCTTGGCAGTTCCCATCAATATGCTGTAGAGTCTAATTAGGAATGGCGTGAAGGAGAAGCCCTTCTGCGCTCCCCTCTGACCCAGGGGCACGTGTTTGACCTGTGCTCATTTGTCTGAAGGTCTGAGGAGGAGGATGGTGATGAGACTTCGGCCACTCTCGGCTCGCGAGCGCCGCATGATAACCTGTACCGCGTGCACATGCCTAGCCTGTACAGCTGTGGCAGCAGCACCTACGGCAGTGAGGCTAGTCTCCCCGCTGCGGCACACACTGTCAGCAACGCACCAGTCACTGAGTACATGTGAGTGTAGCCACGCTAACCTCATCCTAATGCATGGGCTGGATCTTAATGACCGTGCCGCTGTTACGGCTCCTGTAGCATAGGCTCGCTAGCATAGATTACTGCATGGGCTTTGCTGTATTTACAGTAGGTTTAAGATCAGTTGTTAAAACTGCATGGGTTTTACTTCTAGAAGTTAGTCAAAGTGATGCACCGAAATGATTCTGAGCTGAAACTGAAAATTGACCAAAATATATACAGTTGAAGTCAGAATTATTAGCCCTCTTGCTTAATTTGTTTTCCCAATTTCTGTTTAACGGAGAGAATATTTTTCAACACATTTCTAAACATAATAGTTTTAACTGATTTATTTTATCTTTGTCATGATGACAGTAAATAATATTTGTCTAGATATTTTTCAAGACACTTCTATTTAGCTTAAAGTGACATTTAAAGGCTTAAGTAGGTTAATTAGGTTAACTAGGCAGGTTAGGGTACTTAGGCCAGTTATTGTATAATGATGGTTTCTTCTGTAGACTATCAAAAACAAAATATAGCTTAAAGGGGCTAATATTTTGTCCTTAAAATGGTGTTTAAAAAATTAAAAACTCATTTTATTCTAGCCAAAATAAAACAAATAAGACTTTCTCCAAAAGAACAAATATTATCAGACATACTGTAAAAATGTCCTTGCTCTGTTAAACATCATTTGGGAAATATTTAAAAAAGAAAAGAAATTAAAAGGGGGGGCTAATAATTCTGACTTCAACTGTATATTCTATTTAAAAAACCTTATTACTATCAGGCTTTATGTCAAATAAACATTATTTGAAAAACATTTTTGAACACTGTATCCCAAAACACACTCGTCCAAAAAGGGACGAGGCCTTGTTAGTTTATGGGTGGATTTCTTTTGGTGCCTTTAAATATCAACATTGTTTGCCAAAATTCACTTTAAGGAATTTCACCTGAACACCTAAATTATAATTACAGTTTATTCTAGCTAACCAACAAGGACCCTGAATTGCTTTCCTCGTGTAAAAAATCTAACATAATTGTCTGTGAGCTGATTAACTGACATCTTTTGTGGTTGAAACACTCATTAAAGTAACAAAACTTTGTGGTAATTTAATGGCAGAACATTTAAATATTGGCGAGTTTCAAAATTACAATATTTTAAATATTTGTAACTTGCGGCAGCTTAAAGCTCAATCTTAAGATTTAAGAGTTTGTATCAGTGTCAATTCAAATATTTTCAGCCAAATCATTTGACACAGTGAAGTTTTTATCCATGTGGTGGCACAAAAATGTTCAGAAAAGTTCATTACACTTCTCTGTTTATGTCAGTGATTTTTAGCTTTTTTAGCTTCCCAAAAATTGCTGAAATTTCGGTGCATCCTTGATTTTAATAAATAAAACTATATGTGTGGAGCTATATTATAAGTTCCTAATCGGCAAACATATTATGGCATGAAAAACTTTCAAGTAGGTAATTCAGCTTATGTTATGCGTTACACTGAATCCAAGCGATATCCATCCAGTGGATATAATTCAGTATAGTGCATAGCGGTATCACTCAATGCGCATTGCTCCTACCATGCAGTTCAACGCTTTCTGTCAGATTTGTAAAGTTTAGAGCATCGCGGTGTGGACATCCCTCCCATGAAGAGGGAGTCAGAGTAACTGGTGTCTCGTTTGTGACGCAGGAGCCAGAATGCTAACTTTCAGACCCCTCGGTGCGAGAACACGCCACTCATTGGCAGAGAATCCCCCCCGCCGTCAGTAAGTGCACAAGCACATTTACACAAACACTCTACCTCATGTCTGTAGGTGTACAGTCACAGTTAAGCGCAGTCTCACACATTGACTCACATATACATGAAATTAGATGGAACTCTGCCCCATTCTTGACATAAACTGATTGTAGTGGCCCTAAATTGTTTACAGGATGTTACTGTGACAGATTAATGCATGCATAAGACTATTCACACCAAGAACAAAAATGAGAACTAAACATTTCTAAGACTTGTTCTAAATTTAAGATAGTTAAAGATGACTTTATACAGTATAGAGAACTAAAAATAATATATATATATATATATATATATATATTAAATAATATTTCAGAAAGAAAATCCAGGTAGAGACAGATACAACACTGACAGCCAAACTATTTCTTTAGAACTGAAATGGCACACACATTTGAAACTGCAGACAAAATTGTGTCCCAAATCTTTTGGTCTCATTTTCCCAAAGTCATCTGCATTTTCTTAGCCGTTTTTTCAAAATCAAAACCAACAGTACACCACTTAATGTTCATTCGCTTTTGTTACTTTTAAACTGCAGCATGCGAGCTGAGAAATAAAACACAGAGTTATAGTACAGTTGTCCAGTATACTCAATATTGTCATCGTTCTTGGTGTGAAACAGGCCTTTACAGATGAGTATATATGGTATTTGTAAGCTTTGACAACTGTAAAACGTAGCTTTTAGGAAAGATTTAGCATTTAGATGATCATTGTAAACTAAAAAACGCAAATCAAGAGTCTCGAAGGTCATTTTGGCAGCCTGTATGCGTTACTAGCTACAAGTCGTCTCCGTTAAAAATAAAAGGGTACACCAGTCAAATTTCTGTCATGGTTTGCTTTTCTTCTTCCTTGGAATGTGAAATGTAAGGTTTTCTTTTCCATACAATCAATGTAAATGCCAATGGGAAGGACGCGTGGTCCAAACATGACAAAAAAAGCTCTGTGAAAGACATTTAAACAGGCCAAGCCTGAATTAAAATAGTTTAAGCCATAGCGTACCTTGTAAAATCAATATTCAATACCACAGGGGAAATCATAATAAGTATGCTATTTTATTTCATGAATAAAAAGCCAATCTGCATTAAAATCCTCCTCATACATCTGAGAGAACAAAGAGAGACAGTAGAATTGTACCAATGGATTGGTACAGTGGAAAAAGAGCTCTGAAATGCTTTCAAGTATTCAGAAGAGGTATGAATTGAATTTTTTGTAATCCGACAACAACACTATTAGATGTAAAAAGAGGGAAGGTTTTCTGTAGTTGAGTATATTCTTCCTACAAAGCAATTTTTTAAGACTTTAACATATTACAAGGTTTGTTTAGACTACTTTTAGGGTATTTTAAAGGCGCTTTTTGTCATTTTGATACCTACAGTAACAGTGTCCATTTCCATTCACATGCATTGTATGAAAAAAACTGCATGAATATTTTTTTCTAAATTTCTCCTTTTGTGTTCTATGGGAGACCGTTGTATGGTTTCAGGGTTAAGGGCATTATATTATGGGTAGACTATTCCTCAGAAATGGCATTCATGTTTCTACTTATTTTAATTCAAGGCCCCCTTCACTGAGTGGAAGTGGGTTTGACAGAATCCTGGAGTTTGCATGATTGCATGAATAGTTGATGATAGAGATGAGACCAGACAATTCTTCTCCTGCTTCATGCGCGGTGAATAAAGTAGCATAGTACTCTTTTTGAAGGGGCAGGGAAACTCTTTTAATCAGACTTGGCATGTGAGGACATCTTTCATCCTCCCAGTAGTTCGAGTTCAGAAAATGAGAACACTTTGATCTCTTCTAAACGCCGCTTTCACTCAGTCTTACTTTCTAGGTGATTGTTTTTATTTCTTATTTTGTTTATGGGCCCTGGACATGACGCATGCGTATTCAAACTCCAGACTGGAGAGACCACTCGACAATCTGTTTCCTAATAACGTCATGGTCCAGGATGCTGCTTATCGATCCTTGTTTATGTTAGAATTGGAATCGCTGACATATGATGGAATAGTCTCTCCTTCTCTGGATTTTATGATATAAAATATGCATGAATTTTGTATCTTTCTAACCCACCTGAGAAACATCCCTCATGCATGTCTGTTTGTAAAGTGTCTCACATTATAACCTCACCCCTAACATTCTCCCACATATAGCTGCATTTTCTGTATCTATATGTGTGCTTTATTTATCCACTGCTGTCTTTATTTCTGTTTCTCATGGTGTCACACCATTATGTTTTCATTTTTACAATAATTGCACTCTTGTAATGGAAATTGCACACAGAAGCCAGTCTCGAGGAGAAAAGTATACTGTCACATAATGATAATATGTATCATCACAGTAGCTCTTGGCTTTAAAATTACCATCAGGCTGTCCAAATGACTGTCAATTTGTCTGTTTACGCATGCGAGTGATTTAGTGAGATCGACAGAATGAGGTTCATATTTATATGTGCTTCATGTTTGTAAGACGCTACAGCTATACTCTGTCCTAATGCTCAAATAGATGCTAACATTTCCTCACTTTGAACTTTTGGCCATTTTGTATCGGACGTAAAAGTTCGCTCTTCAGAATGATTTGATGGTGTCTTCCCCTCCCCTTGTTTTCTCACCCTGTCTTGCAGTACACCTCAAGCATGAGGGCCAAATATCTGGCAACCAGCCGCCCAGACCAGCCCCGGCCAACAGAATCCCAGAACGGCCTGGAGCCCAACATGCGACCAGACCTAACCAGCCGCTCAGCTCCCAATAGCCGACCAAATTCAGCCATCCACCGGCCCCACTCTGCCATCCATTAACCACTCTCGAATGCGTAACCAATAGCCATCTACCTGTCAAGTCCACTAGTATGAAGTTTGTCTCCAGTAACAAAGTCCACCCTACCATTCTTGTATCTGATTGGAATCAGCCGCCCGTACTCATGTGCTTTGGCTTTTTAAAGACTCCATTTTTGCCAAACCTTAATTCCAACTGCCATTTTTTACTCCCCAATGCATCACAGCAACTACACTGCCCTCTTCTGGAGGACTCCTCTCTCAGTCGTGTGCACAGTAACTCCCATACTACCCTAAAAGAGAGTCTCTCAGGGCAGCCATATTGGCAAGGACTGCAGGACCACGATAATGGTTTTTACCACTGTCATTTTTAAGATGATTTGATTTTATGACGGAGTTCTATTTTTAAGTATTTTGCAAAATTACACTGTTTTTAGGTTTTAATGATGCAGCCTTCGTTCTTTCTCTGCAGTTCCTGACAATATGGCAGCGTTCTGCTACTACAGCCACAATACAAGGTGTCCATCATTACTATTCGATGTTGAAGGAGACGTTTACTCGTTTACAAATGTTCATGAGTTCACTGAATTCCATACTTGTGGATTTACAAGGCTACTCTTTGTATTTACAGTACAGTGTGATCTATGGTGTAACCCAGTGTGAATTGACAGCCATCAAGCCTTTGAGCCATTATGCACATTCAGTATTTGGTAACACTTTACAATAAGGCTCATACCTGCCAACACTCCCGTTTTTCCCAGGACTCTCCTGATTTCAGACCCATCTCCTTGATTTCAGACCTATCTCCCACCACCCTCCCATTTTGTTATTTCTCCCGGAAAACTCTCAACCCCACCCCTACCCGCGGTCCTTAGCTTTTTTTGTTGCAGTATGTAACATTCCCGAGTCGCCAACTTTGGAGCAGGTTTTGGGTGGCCGTTGCAATCGGATCGAATCCCATAGTATGGTTACTAACACCACAGTACAGCTACTAACCTGGTTCTCAACAGTGTTATTCAGACACATCATCCCTGAACATTTACCCACTAACCATTCTCCCGGATTTTCAGAGATAAATGTTGGCAGGTATGGTAAGGCTCCATAAGTTAATGTCAGCCAATGTATTTGTTTACATGAACCAAACATTAACAATGCATGTATTACATGCATCCCAGCAAACATTTTTGTATTTAATAGACGTCTAATAGACATCTAAACAAAGACAGCTTGGCTAAAACAAGGTGAGCTGTCAGTGAAAATCTAATAGACATCTAAGAGTGCTTACTCTCCTAGACTTTTGTTTCGGAACCTGTCTTGTTTGCCCAGTTAGTGTGGTTCGTTTGGCAAATGTGAAACCAGCAATTGCACTTGGATCCGTGCCAAAACAATCAGTCTGAGATCGCCTGAATGAGGTGGTCTTGGCTTGTTAGAAACAAACTCTGGAGTTCGTTCTCTGGATTTCTTCTGGAGTTTTCTCTTGTAGAGAGAAAGCAATCCGAGCCCGGCTATATCACAGTGTATAATGGATATATAATAAAAATATATACGGCCATAGGAAGAGAGAACCATTCCTAATGGCAAATGTGCTTTTCATGTAAAATACGAAAGTGAAAGCATGTTTACTATCAACGAGAGCTGTTTATCCGTTAGGAAAACTGACCAAACAGCAGTCTTAGTTTATCTGTTATTGCACTCTGTAATGTAAAGCCTATAATGCATAAGCTGACTGCTATTTATGAGAAAGTCTTATCTCTGCTCTATATTTAGTGACGACGTCTGTGGGTGTCACCATTCAAAATGAAAACGCAGCTTTTCGCTTATAATGTCTTATTGCTCATCGTTATAAATTAAAATAAGGAGGTATGACTGCTGAGCAGGACTCTGCAAAATAAACTTTGAAACTCTGACCAATGTAAGGAGAGTTTACTTACACATGACTTGTTTTAGCTATTTTGGTCTGTTGCGAACCGCACCAAGAACAAAGTGCAACTTTGTAACAATTTTAATCCCTGTTTTGGAACAAATGAATTGATTCAAAGGTGTGAAAGCACCCTAAGAATAGCCCAAAACTAGACTAGTCGTCAACTAGACCGATTAGACCGACTTTGTGTTGTCATTCATTTCTGTTTATTTGATAAAGTCTAGTTTTGGCCTATTCTTCGACGTCTATTAGATTTTGACTGACAGCCCAAATTTAGCCTTGTTTTAGCCAAGATGACTATGTTTAGATGTCTATTAGACATCTTTAAGAAACAAAAAATGCTTGCTGGGATGTTAATGACAATATGTGTTCATTGTTAGCAGTGCGTTAACTAACGTTAACCTGTTTTAATAATGCATTTGTAAATGCTGAACTGTATTTAATAAATGCATTCTTAGTTCATGCTAGTAAATGCATTAACTCACGTAAACTAATGGATCTTTATTGTAAAGTGTGACCCAGTATTTTATTGTAGAAGGGAAACAGTTGCACAGCACATAAACAGTGTGTTTGTGCGAGTGGAGTGTTTGCCTTGTGCATTAGTGAGTGCGTTTTAAAACCGCACAACTCACGAGCTTTGCTCTTTGTAAATAATGTTTTTGTACTTAAAAAAGAAATGTCTAAACGAGCAACACTACAAACTCGATGCACTAATCTTCTCTGTAACAGTGCAGTGCGACATTTGCCGTGGCTTAGAGCTGCAGTGATGAAGAAAAAAATAATCGTCAATGAACTCTGTGATGAAATAATAGTACATGTTTTGTAGACACTTGAATTTGTGAATACACTTGTGGGTGCTCATGTGTGTGTATGTGCACACTTTAAATGTGAATATTTCTAACGGAGGAAAGTCTGCGCGGAGTGGGAAAGGCGAAGAAGGGATACCTGGACTTAAAGAGAAATGCCTCCCCACATTGTTATTTTTTGTCTTCAGTTTAGGCATGTCGTCCAGGCTTCTTTTTTATTTTTATCAGGAGATTTTTAGTTTTGTAGTGAATCGGATTTTATTTTCACCATGGTCAGCCTTGTTCTTATTTTTGTTTCGCATTTATGGGGAAACACTTCTCTGTGGTGTTGATGGATCTGCAATATGGACACTGGACGTGTGCCACTTACTGGACTTTTTAGTGGCTTCGCCTTCTTTCCGCAGGAGAAGGATGAAAAAAAAACTAATTCTGATGGGAACAATGAAACTGAGGAAAGTTCCTCCTTGTCATGCAGTCACTAAGTAAGACTTGTGTGGATGTAGTGTAAGATAACCTAGCTGTCTTTACCAAGTGCAGTATTGTTGGTTTCATTTACTTGCATCCAGTCTCATTAGGCTGACATTACAGTGTTTCGACGTTTGTCATGACATGCCAGTCAACAGCTAATGTTATCATTCGTAAGATGAGGCATCCGAAGCCAATCTCGAGACATCGCAACCTGATTCTTGAACGTAGGTGTTTATGGATTCATTTTGATTTTAATAAATATCATAAATTACATTAGCAGGTAGAAATGTCGTTTTAAACTGGAAAATGCTATGATGCTGTAACTTTTATGACTTTGTGACACCTTCTGTCAATTGAGGTTTCTTTCCGTGCAACTAAAATGGACGCTGTGTTAAGATGCCAACAGGAAAGGGCTTGTATCCCTCAAATCTCATGCACAAACATGCTTAGGCCATTTAGTTACGACACTAAATATCACTCATGCACAAAAAGCAACAATGCAACACTACGTTTCACAAAAGCAGAATATTACTGGAGTCCTTTTACACTCAATGCAAGTGGATAAAAATGCACCTTAACACTCAAATACACAATGTAAAACTGCTCTGAAACACACAAGTCTTTTTACAGTATCTACTCAATCACTTAACCATCATTTAGAGACAATCCAAATGTTCGGATCTATGATTCTGTACCATAGGATGCAGTTGCATGACTGAAGGAAACACAAGGAGGAAATATTCTGCCTTTCTTAACATTTTCATACAGTAACCTTTCTTTCTGTAAATGTACACATTTTCTTTTTCTAGCGTATTGTTAGCTTTCTATTGTATAGACCATAACAGATGAGCCTACTCACTCCTTTCTAAATGTGAATGATTCGAATGACTCGTCATAAATTGATGTTTTGATAACAATTCTTATGGATTTTTTCATGTTTTTTTATGTTTTTTCATTTGTGATTCAAGATGTTGTACATGTCAGAAAACTTGATTTTCTGAGCCTGGATTCAGTGTTTTAATAATATATTAAAATGAACTTATCTGGTGCAGGGTGTTGAGCATCAGTGCCTGGAAACAGAGAAAAATCCTTTTATCACGGTATGCATTTATCGAGATTTGCGCTACAAAAACAAACAAAATGCGAAATCTAAGCTTTGAAGGTATGCCAAAGTTCTGGAAGAGAATTTGTACAGGTGTTTGTTTGAAAACTGCATGAAAGTCTGTGAGCAGGCATATATTTTAAAAGTAGACCATGTTGTAGTACAACTACAAAAAAAAATAAATAAATGCAGTTGGGCTGTTAATAAACTGCTTTATGTTTAAATGCCATAGAGAAAGTAGTCTAAACTTGTGTTGTTCATGAAGTGCTGTCTATACAAGCCTCTGACTTTCTGATAAACATCAGAGAGAACATCAGTATTCATAGTGTAGACTTTGATTTGGTATTAAAGAAATGTGTCATAATATTTATTTTAACATACTGCCATGGTTATCAGAAATACAGTAGAACGACGTAAACATTTTTCATATAGCAAATAATAAATTGGATTAAAAATAGAGGAGACGTCATAGGCTGACTGGCGTCAACTGAACCACCAGAAGCACAATACATTGAACAAATAATATTATGTAATTCTCAGCTGCCCAGTGTATAGGTCAACTTTTAAAATGTTCATTCATTCATTTTCTTTACGGCTTAGTCCCTCCATTAATCTGGGGTCGCCACAGCGGAATGAACCACCACTTATCCAGCATATGTTTTACGCAGCAGATGCACTTCCAGCCGCTGTCCACACAACTGTTGTGTAGTTTCGCAGTGATCTTTACATAATGGTCATAAGAATAGTTAAAAAAGAATGTCATTCATACAATGTTTAAATGGCCTATGAGCCAAACAAAGTGAATACCCTGTGACGCCTGACAGTACTTTAAGTTCTTATTAGGTCTTAAGTCAGAAATTAAATTTTTGCAGATATATATTGAAATCAGTGTAACGTGTGCTGCTTTACAAGCCGGTAAATAAAACGAAATGTTTTATGCTTCTGTTAAATGAAGGAGGTACTGGGCTATTCTTTATCAAGAATCGACCCGAATAAACACTTTCATCTAGGACTACCATAGCAATTCATTACAAGACAAAAACATATTTTGGAAAATTGATTCATGATGTTATTCATTCATTTATTTTCTTTTCGGCTTAGTCCCTCCATTAACCTGGGGTCGCCACAGCAGAATGAACCAAACACTCATCCAGCTTAAATGTTTACGCAGCGGATGCCCTTCCAGTCGCAACCCATCACTGGGGAAACTATGCACACTCAATACATACCCAATTCACCTATACATGTCTTTTGACTTGTGGGGGAAACCGGAGCTCCCAGAGGAAACCCACGCAAACACGGGCATGCAAACTCCACACAGAAATCCCAACTGACCCGGCTGGGGCTCGAACCAGCGACCTTCTTGCTGTGAGGTGACAACACTATACTGCCTGAATAATCCGAGATCTTGGTCAGTTGACGTAACGATTAGCCTATAGTTTATTAAATCCTGGGATTGCGTTACTTTGAAACAACCATTGAGAGAAAATACATTGATTAACCATAATTTTAAAACTCAAATGTCGTACTGTACCTTATTTTTGTCCGCTATGTTTATCACGATGGTCAGTTTAATTACACCTGATATTGGCGAAACACCCCAGAGAAATTGTTGGCACAGACGGAGCACTGAAATTTACAGATGTAGCGGCAAATGGCAACACTACAGCTTAATGAATTCAAAACAAGCCACATCAAATGAATTGGGTTGACAGGAGAAAGTATCATCCACATTAACAGAGTGGGAGGTAATTACCGGATGGGCAAGATCTGCACTGGTATTCTCTACATCTGGGCACAAGTAACACGTGAGCTGGGTTTTTCAGTTACTGGTTTGATTTTTTTATACAAGAGAAACCTTATGATTGAAAGCCAATTCTCCAGTGTAGCTTTTTAGCTAAAAAAAAGCTATGTTAATAAATGATATACAAATTATAAGGTAGGGTAATTGACACATTTTTAAATCATTTTTACATATTTAACCATATGTTCCATGTAATTTACTGTATTTTGCTGTATATTATTTTCAATTGATGAATGCTACAGCATAGGTTACTATATTGATTATGGTGAACTGATAGATATAGCTGGTTTTTACTGCAGTAAATAAAAAAAAAATATTTCATTAATTTTCCTTCGCCTTAGTCCCTTTATCCATCAGGGGCCGCCACAGTGGAATGAACCGGCAATTTATTTAGCATGTTTTTTTACACAGCAGATGCCCTTCCAGCTGCAACCCGGTACTGGAAAACACCTATAGACACTCATTCACACACTATGGCCAATTTGATTTATTCAGTTCACCCATAGCACATGTCTTCGGACTGTGGGGTAAATTGGAGCATCCGGAAACCCTAACACGGGGAGAACATGCAAGTTCCACACAGCCGGTACTCAAACCAGCGACCTTCTTGCTGTGAGGCAACAGTGCTAACCACTGAGCCACCAATAATTGTTGTAGAAAACCTTTTATTTGTTTTACTATGTAGCCTACTACGACATTAGAATTAAAGCAACAGACTAATTCAAGTACTTTAATAGCGTTAAAAACACTACCAAAATACTATTGACCATTTTGAGGGATGTAAACAAAAACAGTGTATTTCCTGTGTTACATGTAGCTTCCGAGAATCCAAAAAGAGGCACACATTGGTAAATAATGTTATGATAGCTGTTTTAACATTAAGTTACGATTGAATTGCCTTTTGTTACAGTTGTGAAATAGTATCACAACTACCAGGAAATTTTCATGGGCCATTGACACGAGCATATTGAAATTGTTTATTGTATTTTATCATGTGGGTTCAGTGAGGTTTTCTTTTCAGGCAAAAGGAATAAAAGTGGTGTGGGGTGTTCAGGTAGGCTTTTCCTTTTCTTAATTTTCATCTATTTACATTAAATTATTTCACAACCTAAATATTTAATTCGGACATCTGGGCACCTGAACGTGCTTCAATCAAGGCAGGTTACCGAGTGAGAAGTGAAGCACATCTGATGACCGATTGTGCTTGAGTAATGACTTTATGCTGCCGCGAGGAGGCGCATGCGCGCAAGTATTCCGCACAGTTAAAGCTTGAAGCTCAGCCGAAAGCTCATCTCCTTTACCAGAGGTCGTGAACAGGTAACCGAAGCATCACCGCGCTGGATCTAATGGAAGTCTGGTGGAAAATGTTTACGTTGATCTTGGCTTAACTTTTCACCAATCTGAAGATACTTTAGAGCCTTTAATTGTTTGGGTGAGTGTCTATTTCAAATTCAACTGTGCGTAAAATGAGCTGTATTCTGTGTCGACTGCTATGTGTCATAGTTTTTAAATGTATAGTTAAAAGAAGATGTAATATTTTAATAGAGTGTTTAGGGTTTTCAAATGCTGCTTATGAATCACAATAATTCTATTTTGAGGTAAACAAATTATCATTAGGAATTAAATTCATCAGCATACATTTGATTGTGTATTACATTTAGTATTATTTTATATACATAAAACAAAATGGTAACCAAAAGGGTTTTAATGCATGAAATGTTATAGACTGCAGTGCCATTCGTGACTATACATAAACATGAGTTCATGTCAATTTGACAGGTGCATTGTGTGAATGTAAAGCTATTTATACAATGTAAAAAACCTTTCTTTGTCATTTCCTAGTGTTAGCCCTTTAAAGTTGTAATCTCGGTCGCCCTTATATGCACATGAATGGGTGCAGCAGCATGAGATCAGAAGTATGAATAAATTAAAGGATTTGGAAAGCTTTTGCTTGTAGGTTTTTGTTGCCTTTTCAGTGAATAGATTAATGCATGCATGCACATCAGTGTATAACTGTCTGTCCCTTTTCAGGTTATACATGATACCAAGGTGTGAAGGAAGAAAACCAAGCAAAGAAGAAGAAGAAGAGATACTTAAGAAAAAAGCAGGTCTAATTTTCTCTTGTAGCCAACAATCTTGTCTGAAGAGGTAAATGTGAATTCTGTATTTGATACAGTGTGGAAGAAGAGACTGAATTGTGCTCTGGCTTGTGAACTGACAGAAAAAAACAAACATGGATTTAAGATTGTCCGGTTTTCCATGGTCTTCAAGCTTTTTTGTCCATAAATGCAAACTTTGGTACCTGAAAGTAAGGTAGAACATTTCAATCGTTACCATGTAGTTTAGATCTTTAGATAGTTCACCCACTCAACAACACAGGAAAACAACGATGAATCTGACCCCAGATCAGCCACCAACCCAACTCTATGACCTTCAACGTGAACCTCAAAACAAAAGCAGTTCCTCATCAGCCAGTTTCTTCAACAGCACCTTCTTCTTCCAGGATAACGCCGCTTTAGAATGGCAGCTGTTCCTCACCATCCGAGAGCCTGGCACTATTATATTGACTGTCCTGTACTCCATTTCCTTCCTCGTGGGTTTCTTCGGAAATGTCATGTCCCTCAAAGTCTTACTGGGCCAGCATGGAAGTGTACGTCTGTCGGGGGTGAGCGCCACCCGCTGTCTGCTAATAAACTTAGCCGTGTGTGACCTGGCGGTGGTCTGCGTGTGCATGCCCGTCACCTTGGGCCACCGTATCTACACACCATGGATATACGGAGACTTCCTGTGCCGTGCCGTGCCCTTCACACAAGCGGTGTCTGTTTCCGCCAGTGTCTTGAGCATCACAGTCATCAGCATTAGCCGATACTATGCAGTTCACTCGCCGCTGCAATCCCGTGCCTACTTTACTCGCCGACGCATTCTGGCCTCTGTCACCATCGTGTGGCTCGTCTCCTCAGTGATCTGCATGCCAGTCGCCATTGTAACCAGGCGTGATGAAGTCGCTCTGATTGACGGTCTGGCCATCGTGTTACCCGTCTGTGGAGAAGTTTGGCCTCAGCCACGTTTGCGTCAGGTGTACAACGTCTTGCTCTTCAGCGCCCTCTACTGCCTGCCTGTTACGTTTAATCTCACTTTAGCCTTTTTGACATGTCGCCGACTGCGCAGCTCTGCCACCGACGGTCGATTCACTGAACTGGACCCTCGTTCTCAGGCTCTTCATGAAACAAGGCTTCAAGGGCGTAGACAGATCGCACGTATGGTCACAGCTTTGGTGCTGCTTTTCGCTCTCTCGTGGTTGCCTATGTATGTGACTGATATTTGGCTAGACCGTGAGCTGCGCCATCCACCAGACTGGCTCCTACAGACCAGACCCTTTGCACAGTGGTTGGGCCTCACCAACTCTTCTCTCAACCCTTTTTGCTACTGCTTCATTGGTGATCTCCATCGTTCGGCGAAGGCTTTGCGTTTGCGGCTGCTCGGCCCGTCACCAGCTTCAGCGCTGGCTCTGGCGTCTCTCCCGAAAATATTCAACCTGCAGAATCAGGACAAATCTCCAGTGGTCGCCACTGACAGCTCACCCAACTCCTGCGGGGAGGACGCTGGGAGTCTGAATCTGTCGATGTGGTGGACTCAATCTCGCACATGTGAGTCATTGAGCTTGCCTTACCACTTAGGAATGACTGAGGCCATTACGCTGGATTCATAGCAGACCTGACGCTCTGACGTTTGTTCTCAGATGTGCTGTGTTTGTGCTTCTAGAAAATCGCATGGGTTAGTTCACAGAAAATTCAGTTTGCTCATCCCTTTTGTCATTTCAAAATTGATAGACCTTTTCTCTTCTGCAGAAGACAAAATATGACACTGAGTTTTTCTTTGTCTATATGATAAAAGACAGTATTGTTCAAACAATATTGGCATCCATTGACCCATAGTGGCTCAGTGGTTAGCATTGTCACCAAACAGCAAAAAGGTCACTGGTTTAAGTCCCAGCTGCCCCAGTTGGCATTTCTGTGTGGAGTTTGCATGTTCTCCCTGTGTTCGCATGGGTTTCGTCCAGGTTTTCCAGTGTCCCCAACAGGCCAAGACATGCGGTATAGGTGGACTCCCTACTGAAAAAAACAGCTTAAACCAGCCTAGGCTGGTTGGCTGGTTTTAGCTGGATGACCAGCCTGGTTTCAGAGAGGTTTTGGCCATTTCCAGGCTGGTCTCCAGCCATTTCCAGCCTAGTCTTAGCTGGTCAGGCTGGAAGATGACCAGCTAAAACCAGCTTGACCAGCCTACCCAGGCTGGGAGCCTAGCCAAAACCAGCTATGTCCAGCTTAAACCAGGCTGGTCAAGCTGGTTTTAGCTGGAGCTGGTCATTTTCCAGCCTGACCAGCTAAGACCAGGCTGGAAATGACTGAAAACCAGCCTGGAAATGGCCCAAATCCCTCTAAAACCAGGCTGGTCATTAAACCAGGCTTAAACCAGCCTAGGCTTGTTGGCTTGTTTTAGCTGGGTTTTTTTAGCAGGGCTGGGTAAACACAATTGATTCTTCGCTAAGACATGGCCTCCTTAGTTACTGTTGCTACACCTGTCAAGCTTGCGTGCCTGGCACGTCTATTACAATATGTATGCGGTGTCAGACATTTCCAGGGATATAATTAGTCATTTTTGGCAAACGGGTGAAATATCCGAGAAAGCCAGACAAATAAGGACTGTACTATGCATTGCAGGGGTATATTCACGACATAATAGGCAATCGATTAGAAAATAACTTAACCTTAATCGAAATTGAAGCTAGGTTAGCCTAGCTGCCTCATAAGCTGACCATTCAACAGCTCAGTACATGCACAGCAGGAGAGGTGACATTTAAAAATAATCTAATAATAACAAATTAAACCGTGATTTCTCTATTTTCAGTCAAAGTCTGATAGATTAATTGTTGTGCAATGTAATATAGCGTTACTAACCGATGAGAAAACATGTATGGACAGTGCCTCTACGTAATTCATTCAGCCAGAAAGGGGAAATTGATGGATTTGTACCAAATATTCGCATCATTGACCCATAACAATGTACAATAGCTATAACTGTCAGCATGTTTGTGTGCTTTTTATACCGTTTCTGTTCTAATTTGCGGTTAAGTGGAAACAATAAATCAATTGAAATGCAAATCAAAGTATGAATAGCAGAAGTGAACAAATAGATTTTCCCTACCAACAAATATTAATCAGACGATATAATATAATATAAAAGCACACACTAACTCGCTATACGTCGTCAGCATTGACTAAATCTCCAAAAGACTGATGAAAACATAAGTGAACTGTTCTGACATAGACATGAGGCATATAAATTCTTGAAAAACAGCTGCAGGTGAAGTATTTTGATTGCAAGTGCTCACTTTGTCACATCTTGGTTTTGTTCTGTTGATATGTAATTTCAAATATTCGTAGCTTGAAACAGATAGAAATATGACTACTATTGGTATGACTACTGCGAGGGCTTAAACAGAGCAGTGCTCATAATATCGAGTGAAAAAAGAAAGACAGCTGTGAAAAATAATTTGTTTGTATTTTTGTAGGGAACACAGTTTAGAGGTTTTCGGGGGTGGCTTAGTGAAGGGTCAATTGGCCATAGTGTACCAGAGTGTGTGTGAATGCAAAAGTGTATGGGTGTTTCCTAATACACTATTGGAAGGACATCTGCTGCGTAAAACATATGCTGGAATAGTTGGCGGTTCATTCCACTGTAGTGACCCCAGATAAATAAGGCACTAAGCCGAAGGAAAATTAATGAATGACCATAGTTTTATATTTTTACATTTATGCATTAAGTGCAGGGGGTTTCAGACTGGGACTTTAGGGGAGTAAAAGAGAATACTGATGGTCTGTTAATGTTTGTAAAAAAAATTACACACAATTTTTGTAATCATTTAATTATAAACATTTTGCGAAGAATATAACATTTTAACACACGTATGAAAGGAACAAACGAGTAATTTAGTAAACACATAATAAAAATATAAAACGTTTTAAAATGATATAAAATAATTGTAAAATGACAAATTTATAAATAAATTCGTTCATTCATTTTCCTTTGACTCAGTCTCTTTATTCATCAGAGGTTGCCACAGTGGAATGACCCGCCGTATGTAAATTCAAAATGTAAATTTGAAATACGTTAATAAAGGTGGAAATCTCAGCGTACCATAATAATATTAAAAATGTAATAATGTAGCTTAACAGAAACTAATTTTAATTTTAATCTTAAACATTTTAAATGTACAAGCAACTACATAAATACATATTAGATGGAGGTGTCTTGTGTGAAGGTCTGTGGCATCTAAAACTCCTGATTTAACCGGTGCTTTTATCTAAACAACTCACAAATGAGGAAAACAAAAAGTTTATTATAAAAAGTCAAATTGTTACAAGAGCTGATAGTAACACAACGTTTCAGACATGACTTAAAAAAGTAACACAGTGGGTAGCACAACAGCCTCACAGCAAGAAGGTCGCTGGTTTGAGTCTCGGCTGGGTCAGTTAGCATTTCTGTGTGGAGTTTGTATGTTCTCCCTGTGGGTTTCCTTCGGGTGCTCCTGTTTCCCCCACAGTCCAAAGACATGCGCTATAGGTGAATTGGGTAAGCTAAATTGTCCGTAGGGTATGACTGTGAATGAGTATGTATGGGTCGTTCCAAGGGATGGGTTGCCACTGGAAGGGCATCCACTGCATAAAACATGTGCTGGATAAGGTGGTGGTTCATTCAGCTGTGGCGACCCCAGATTAATAAATGAACTAAGCCAAAAAGAAAATGAACGAATGAATGAATAAGCTAGAATATGGTGGGATTAAAAAAAAGGTAGATAAACAGTAAATGGACGTTCTTCAACAGTGTCTGTTTTCAGCTGTCTCTAAATATTATCAGAGTTTTAATATTTTAGATGTGGTTGATAAAATCATTCCACCAGCAAGCAACACTCATTCATTCATTCTCCTTCGGCTTAGTCCTGTTATTTATCAGGCATCACCACAGCAAAATGAACCGCTAAATATTCTGACACGTGATTTACGCAGCGGATGCCCTTCCAGCTGCAACCCACAACTGGGAAACACCCATATACTCTAACATTCTCACACACACTCATACACTACAGCCAATTTAGTTATTCCAATTCACCTATAGCGCATGTCTTTGGACTGTGGGGAAAACCAGTGAACTCCACACAGAAATGCCAACTGTCCAAGTGGGCACCCAAACCAGCAACGTTCTTACTGTGAGGTGACAGTGCTAACCACTTTGCCACCGTGCCACCCTCAGCAAGCAACTGTGAACAACGATATTCTAAAGTGGGGTTTTTTTGTGGCTTTTTGTGATGACAAACAAACAGTAAATAAATAAATATCACTCAGACACCTTTAGAGTCAGAAAGAGAAACAGACAGAATTGCATGATATCATCCTTCATTTTCTACTAAGGATTAAAGGAAATACAGGTTTGGAATGACAAGAGTTGGTGAGCAAATGATGACCGAAGTTACATTTTTGAAAGAACTCTTTTCATGTTTTAGCTTTCAAGAACTGAGAAAATGGCTATCAGTAATTATAAGCAAACTCCAGCATACTTTGAAATACCATACATTTCTGGAAACCATGTAACTGCATAGTGATTGAACATTTTCCATTGGGAGTAAACGTTTATCATGTTTAGATCTGCTGTGAATATACAACTGAATAAATAGCATGACATCAAAACTAATTAGGATCCATGTAAGCAATTCATATCATAAAGGAATAAAGTGTTTCATCGCAGAGTGTGTACGGTTCGTGCTGCTAAGAATGGCCTAGAGCATTGTCTTAAGATAAACCCATGCTGCTCCTACATCTGACAAAGTGCTTTAATTAAACTTCTCATCTGAGTGAAACCCTGACACACATACGCACTCACACTTTCACTCTCTGGCGAAGAAACACATGGAAATGTCTTTCTGTGAACGCTCGCAGCTTCTCACCTTCCGTACTAAATGTGGAAACCATCTGCATCTCAAGTCATCACCCTGTACTTAGTGTTATCTCAGTGAAATCAGAGTGAAGATTTAGATTCCAAACTACATCAGCGTTGAAAAGTTTGGACTCAGTATGATTTTTCTGTTCAGAAACAATGGCTTTAATTAATAAAAACCATCATAGGGGTTCCACGCTTCTGGAAAATAATGTAATGTGTATTTATATAGCGCATTTATTGCGTATGGCCATATACCCAAATCACTTCACAATCATGATGTGGGGTTCTCTGCACCTCCACCAGTGTTCAGCATCCACAAGATCATATGAAGTAAGAACTTGTGACGACATATGATGATGTGTGCAGGTGTTGTACAGTTGCCCCAGTTCTTAGGGGTAAATTTGAAGCCCCTCCCCTTCACACTCTGTTTCGAGGGCCAAGGGAGAGGGGTGCAGGTATAAAAATATTTGTTTGGGATTGGGCCTTATTGGGATTGGGCCTTCCTGCTCCACATAAACGCTGCATTATACCACCTCACATAAGTGGTAATTAGTTTTGTATGTTTTTATTTGATGCAAAATGATATAGTAGAAAGTATAGCTTCCCTGCTGAAAAATCCAGCTTAAACCAGCATAAGCTGGTTGGCTGGTTTTAGCTGGTTGACCAGCCACGTTTTAAAGGGGTTTTGGTCATTTCCAGGCTGGTTTCCAGCCATTTCCAGCCTGGTCTTAGCAGGTCAGGCTGGAAAATGACCAGCTAAATCCAGCTAAAACCAGCTTATCCAGCCTAGTTTAACCTGGACATAGCTGGTTTGGGCTGGGCTCCCAGCCTGGCTAGGCTGGTCAAGCTGGTGTTAGCTGGTCATCTCCCAGCCTGACCAGCTAAGACCAGGCTGGAAATGGCTGGAAACCAGCCTGGAAATGGCCAAAACCCCTTTAAAACCAGCCTGGTCGACCAGCTTAAACCAGCCAACCAGCCTAGGCTGGTTTAAGCTGGTTTTTTGTCGTAGAGTTAAATGTACATATATTATTTAATCAAAATCTAAAAAAAAAAAACCTTTACGGATTTGAGATGTTGATCATTAAATCCATCAAAGCTGTGAAAAAGGTCCATTGAAAATGTCTTCAAATAGAATCAGTTATTTTACCCTTGGGTACTT